AGGTCTTGCTATGTGGTCCAGGCTGGTTTTAAACTCACTATGTAGCCTAGGCTGGCCTCGAACTCATGGTGATCCTCCTGCCTCAGCCTACAGAGTGCTGGTATTATAGGTATGGACCATCATGTCCAGTAATAATAGTTTCTGATAAGTACTTTTCTTTTTTTCCTTTGGGCAAAAGAAGCTTCAGAATTTTCCTTAGCCCTCTCAGACTTCTGGGAAGAGTGACTAGATAAACTTTCAGGTTTTCTTGGCCTCCCCACTCCTTGCTCCCTACTTATGGACAGCCATAGAGTTTTGAGAAAGGCAGAAAATAGGGAAACAAAATGTGAGTATGTATGAGAACCCCAATACTTTTATTGTAATTTGTGTACAAAATATAGAAGTAAAGAGTAAAAAAAAAAAAGTAATAAAAAGTTAGGAGGTGAGGGGCTGAACTTAAAGATACAACAGATTTTACATACCCTGAGAAAACTAAGGCAAAGTCCAAGTAGATCAAAAGTTGCTGTTGCCACTTGGAGCTCTTGAAATCTTCTCCTACCAGAACAAAGAGCATATTTGTCTGTGTCTGGGAACAATATCAAATATATTTGCATTGTATCAACTCAAGGTGGAGGAAAATAGAATCCCTAATAATTTTAATCCATGCTTTTTATTTTTGTTGGCAAATTTGCTTTATATTTGTTTGGTATTATAAAATTGCCTTTTAAGGCCAAATCATTTTGTGTTGAGAGTCTACACTTAGGTAACATACAGAGTATCAACTGCCAAAGACAAACTCTAAAGTAAAAACATAATCCTCCTTTGACTGCATCCTACTGGTAGGCCCCTACTGAAGCACGTGATGATTGTGTATGCCTGGCTCTGTCTCTGTGATGTTTGAACTATGTCCTCCTTGATGATACAGAGGGCAAGGACTGTCCTACAGAACTTTGGATCCACAGTCTAGAGCAGTGAACCTATGGTGTATGGGCCACAGTAGGCATGCAGAGCCTCCTCTGTCAGCACTTGAGCCAACTTACTGATGGCTGAACAACACCCCAGCTGCCAAGTATCAGATAAAAGCACACATAAGGACCATGCGCATGCTCAGAAAAGAATAGCAGGGACTGGTTGTGAGTTGTTTCTTCATTTTTGTTTTGTTCTGTTTTGTTTTTTGTCCTTTTGAGACAGGGTCTTGCTATGCAGTTCAGGGTGGTCTTGAGCTCACTTTATAGCCCAGGCTGGTCTCAAAACTTGCAATGATCCTCCTGCATTAGCCTTAGCCTCTCAAGTACTGGGATTACAGGCGTGCAACACCATGCCTGGCTATGAGTTTTAATACATTCTTTTTTTTTTTTTTTGATACTAGGAATATCCTTGGCCCTACATTCATTTTTATTAATACAAGACTTTAGCTTTGTGTTTTCTTATGAAAACTTGAAATTTAATATCTAAGATTTAGCAAAGAGATATTCTAATACAGAGACTGAGATTCTTTTAATGTTGTGTTGTCCCCCTAATATATTTGAATTTGAAACATCATATTTAGTTGTTTGTGAAGAATTTATGAAAACAAAGGCATGTATTTGCTTGGACTGGCTGTGGTTTTAGCAGAAGCCTCCACAGGGTAGGAAATGCACTCAGACGCCTTTTTCAGAGTAGGAAAAGGTGGTGGTCAGTGGGACATCACCTCCTTGTGCTGGTGATCAGCAAATTCAAGAGGAATCCTAGCTGAGAATCACTGCTATAGATTGTTGATTCAGGGAATATCCAGTTCTTTAGTGTTAAATAATACAATAAGTCCCCAGCTTACAAATGAGTTCTGTTCTGGGAGAACCTTCATAAATTGGAATCAGTAAGTCTAACAAAGTAAGTCTTACATAACTGACACAAATATACAAAAAAAGAAAACCCAAATACACAAAAATACTGTAAATAAATTATTTTAACTTTTATAGTTACCTTAAAATTGTAATACAGGACAACTGTAAATAAACTATTTTTCCTTTTATAGGTACCTTAAAATGATAAGGTAGACATAAGAGCTACTTCTGTAATTTATTTGCATCAGTTCATAATGTGAGGTCCAGATCTGTGAAAGTTTGCAATTTGAATGTTCATAAGTCAGAGACTTACAGCAGTGTTAGCTATTTTTGGTGTAGGAATAGATTTGTATTGAGTGCTTCTTGTTTTTTAGTTTTGTGTTTTTATAGATTCCAAGTCTTAAACACCAAAAAAGTCTTGCAAAAAAAAGCAAAACTGAAAACAGATAGATCATTCCAACAGGCCTGAACAGAGTCACTTGGAGCACACAATGAGAAACACAATGAGAAAGCATCACATGTTCTGTGTAGTGAAAGTGTTGTGTGTCCCATATCAAGTGTCAAATGGTATTTTGACACCAACCACAAAAGTATTGCCGGACTTGGTGAAACTGAAGGGAGTTTCTTGAAGGGAAACTGAGGAAATATTATTTTAGTGTCTTGGTTTTTGCAACTATCTTTATAACACAAGTCATTTGACAGCTGCCAGCTTTCAAAGTTTACTGTGCATAGCAAAACATGGTAAGCCCCTCTCTGATGGGGACTGTATCAAAATGGCCATGTTGTCTGGAAGCAATTCCCTTTTTCATGATTTCCCAAACAAGGATAACATTATGCAGTGCATCTGTGAGATGCCCCTTAGCAGACATATTGTTAAAGATCTGAGTCCTGTGCATGGCAAGTGATGTTAGTCAGCTCCTCATCACTGACTTTCAAAACGCAGCCTGTTACTCCATGTGCTTGGATGAAAGCGCAGATATAAATAATTATGCAAGGCTAGCAGTAACTTTGCATTATGCTGTTCATGAGAAGAGAGCTGGTGAAACTGGTGTCTTCTGGAAGAACACAAGGGATAGACAGACAGAGGCTTTTTTATTACAAGACATTTAAGACCCGAAAAAGTGGTTTCAATTTACTAGTGATGGGGTTTCTTGCATGGTGGGGGAAACATCTGGTGTCATACAGTTCTTTGTTAAGCAAATCATCCAGCCATTCACTTTCATTGTACTACACCTCAAGCTCTTTAGCTCTTTGTTATGGTTTCTATTTTTTTGTTTTTGTGTTTTTGTGTTGTTTTTTTTTTTTTCTTTTTGAGACAGGATCTCACTAAGTAGTACAGGCAAAAATTTTCCTGCCCCGGTCTCCTCACTGCTGGGATTACAGGCATGGGCCACCACACCCAGCTTCAAGAAACTCTTTGTGCCAAAGAAAGCAGCAAAAGCTTAGACGATATCCTCAGAGATCTCACAAAAATGGTGAATTACATCATGGTTCATGCTCTTAATTTTTGACAGTTTCAAGCACTTCTTGATGAGGTGCAGGTATAATTAATACTTTACTTATATTCAGTAATGTCTGGTGGCTGAGCAGAGAATGAGGCCTAGAGAGCTTTTTAGTTAGCTTGGATGAAATTAGGCTGCTTCTGAATGAAAAAGAGCTGGAATATCCACAGCTCACTGATCTGGCCTGGTTTAACAACCTCATTTTTCTTTTTAACAGATTTTACACTACACTTCAATGTACTAAACAAAGAACTACAAGGTGTATGGAAAATTGCAGAAAGGATGTTTTGTGATATCAAAACATTTGAGAGAAAACTACAGGTTTTTGAAAGGGACCTGGAAACTGGGCAGATGAAATATTTTTCAAATCTAAAAATGCATTTAGAAAATTCTACATTTGCAGACAATCCTCCAAGCCATCAGGGAATTTACAAGGAATTTGCTAACACTGTAGCTGCTATAAAGGGGAATTTTAGTAACAGATTTTTATAGTTGCATAAGATGCAGACAACCCAACACATTTCTTACTTCTCCAGATATAGCCAAATTTGAAGAACTTGATCTTCCCTGCTTGCACTGGTTGCAGTTTGGAAATCTGGAAATGGATCTATTGGAATTTCAAGAAAGCTATAGCTGCAAAAATAAATTCTATGGCTTGTGTGCAACACTTGAGAAGACAGAGTGTGAAGTGATGACAAAGGACAGCACAACTGGTAGTTCTGAAAATGAAATCCTTAAAGTGTAGAATTCTCTGTCAAATAATTTTAAGTCAATGAAAGCACTTAGGATTGCTTTTCCTACTTTATTTGGATCATCTTATGCTTGTGAGCAGCTATTTTCAGCTCTGAATTATATCAAATCTGATATAAAAAAACAGACTAACAGATGACCTGAGTGCCGCATGTATTGACTAACAAAGTGTGAGCCAAAATTTGACAAATCATCAGCAGGTACATAACAGCAAAGATCACATTAATTGCACAAAAGCATGCCAAATGCAAACTTTTACCTTTCAATAAAAAGCTATTTATATAATTGAAAGCTCTGTTATTATGTGTTTCTTTTAAGATAAAAGATATTAATGTGTGAGTTTTTTTTCTAGACTAAAACCTCAGTAGTCAGGTTTAATTGCAGTGTTGGCACTTTGCAATCAGTAAGTGGGCTTGGGCTTGCAGTTTGGGCACTTGATCTCTAAAAGGTTTGCCATCACTGGTCTAGAGGTTCTCATAATAAATATTGTATTTTTTCTATGAATGAATGTATATAATCTGATACCAGATGTTGCTTTTATCATATTATTCTCCCTGTTTCAGATATACTTTTAATTTCTTGGGAATCTTTTAAGAATCATCAGGAGAGATGCATAATAACTGATCCCATGAAATACTGTGAAGTACTAGAGGAGACAAACCTATAGTGGAAAAAATAAGTGACTGCCTGTGGTCGGTGAGTAGAGCCTGACTGGAAGTGGCAGGAGGGTAGTGCTCTGTGTCCTGATCGGAGTTGAGGCTCCCAGGTGCATATATTTGTCTAAACTTAGCTAATGTACAGTTGTGATTTGATACTTTGTATTAACTTTTTAAAAAGCCTTTCACAAAGCCTTTGGATTCTTCATTTTGTGCCAGCAAAAACTCATCTTTTACTGAGAAGGACTTTTACTAGTTATTGTCCTCACAGTGATCTACTGTACCTACAAAAATTATATTTTTTAAAGTTTTTGTTTTTTTGCAATGGTGGGTACTGATCCTAGGTATAGAGTGAGCTAGGCAAGTGCTCTACCACTGAGCTACAACCTCAGCTATAAATAAATATTTTGGGCTGGGCATGGTGGTGCATGCCTGTAATCTCAGTGCTTGGGAGGCTGAGGCAGGAGGATTGCTGCAAATTCAAGGCCAGCCTGGGCTACAAAGTGAGTTCAAGGCCAGCCTGAACTGCATAGTGAAACCTTATCTCAAAACAAACAAACAAAATTTTGAATTCTCTCTTAAAATTTCAGTTAATCCTCTTCCAGATTTACTGTTATTGAATGCAACTGGTATAGCTATTTACAGCTCACACGAGGGAGTATGTGTTTCTATAATAGCTGTCCTCTTTATGTATTTATTTTTTGAGATGCAGGGGGTCTCACTATGTAACTTAGGCTGGCCTTGAACTTATGATCCTCCCATAATTAGCCTCCCAAGTAGCTGCGATTACAGCCATGTATTGCATACACATCCCAAAGGGTGTCTGTGTTAGTCAGCTTCTTATTATGGTAACAAGTATCTGAGATAAACCAATGTAAAAAAGAAAAAGTCTATTTTGGCTCACGGTTTTATAGATTCCAGTCCATGGTTAATTGGCAATCTTCCTTTTGGGCCTGTGGCAAGGCAATACATCATAGTGGGAGCGTATGACAGAGCAAACTGCTCATCTCATGGAAGCCAGGAATTAAAGAAAGAGGAAGAGGCTGCAGTTTCAATATTCCGTTGAAGGCACAGCCCCAATAATCTAACTCCTCCAAATGGGCCCTGCCTTTTTTTTTTTTTTTTTTTGGTTTTTCTCCGGTACCGGGAACCGAACTCACGACCTTGCGCTTGCCAGACAGACGCTTTGCCGCTGAGCTAAATCCCCAGCCCCTGGGCCCTGCCTTTTAAAGATTTCTACCACCACCAACACCTCCACAGGTTCAGGACCAAGCCTCGACAACACGAGCCTCTGCAGGGAGGGTATTCACATCCAAACTATAGGAGGGCCCCCGAATACTGATTATTATTGTGAGTGCTTCTGCAGGGGTGGGGGAAGGTAAGGATAAGAACCTGATTCCAAGACCTAAGATAGCCTAGGACATAACACAAACACAGTTGTCTCTATCCATGATACTCACTGGGCATAATGCCAAATAAAGCTGATACATAGATGGCTTAGCATTCATATTATATAACCACTAATGACTGCTGATTTGCCTTATTATGTCAATATTTGCTGCATGGCAATTAACTAATGGATTAGATAATTCGACAATTCTACTACTCATTATGGGGAAGGAGTATTTATGAGTATGGGTTTCTTAGCTGAACAAGAGATCAACAGAAGCCAGTCACTGTAATCCCAGCACTCTAGGAGGTTGAGGCAGGAAGATCAAAAGCCCAGCCCAGGTAACTTGGCAAGATTCTGTCTAAAAAAAAGCTGGTAGCAGGATATAAATTCAACACTCAAAAAAATCAGCAGCAACTCTGTGCATGAATAATAAGCTCACTGAGAGAAAAATTAGGGAAACAACATGTTTCACAGTAGTGTCAAGAAAAATGAAATACTGAGGAATCAATCTAACAAAGGAAGTGAAAGACATTGAAAATATAGTATTCTGAAAAACGAGATCAAAGAGGATATCAGACAGTGAAAAACAAAAAAGAAAAAGGAAATGGAAAGATATCCCCTGTTCTTAGATAAACATAACCAATATAGTGAAAAAGGCCATATTTCCAAAACTGTTATACAGATTTATTGCAATCCCAATCAAAATACCAGTAGCATACCTCATGAAACTACAGAAAACAATCCTAAACTAATATGGAACCAGATGAGACCTAGAATAGCTGAAGCAATTCTGGGCAGCAAAGGCAAGGCAGAGGCATCACAATCCATGAATGAAGTTATACTACAAAGCTACTGTGGCAGTAGCATGACAGCATGACACTGGTAAAAAAGACTATGAACAAAAGACTTTATGAATAAAACCCTATTGCACCTGAAATATTACAAAGAATCAACAACTGGGATCTCACCGAATTAAAAGCCTTCTGCACAGCAAAAGAAATTACCAACAGGGTACAGAGACAACCCACAGAATAGGAAAAAATTTTTATCAGGTGCTTCTCAGACAAAAGACTAACATCTAGTATGGCAAACTTAAAAAATCAGACCTTCAAAATTTAAAGACCCAGTCAAAAAATGGGCACCTGAAATGAATAACTATTTCTCAGATGAAGTACAACAGCAAATAAATATATAAAAAAATGCCCACCATCACTGGTCATTTGAGAAATGCAAATTAAACAACAGTGAGATTCTATCTCACACCAGAAAGAACAGCTATCATCAAGAAATCAACTAATAAATGCTATCAGGGCTGCGGGGGTAGGGGGAAAGGAATCCTTCACCACTGCTGGTGGGAGTGCAAACTGCTATGACAACTATGGAAATCAGTGTGGAAATTCCTCAAAAAAAAAAAACAAAAAAACAAAAACAAAAAACACCTAAAACTAGAGGTTCCATTTGACCTAGCTAGTCTCCTTCTTGGTATCTTCCTGAAATAAAAGCATCACACCTCAGTGATACGGGCACAGCCATGTTTATAGTGGCACAGGTTGTAATAGCTAAATCTTGGAAACAGCCCAAATGTCCATCAACTGATGAGTGGATAAAGAAGATGTGGTTGTTTTCAAAAACATAATGGAGTACTACTCTGCCATAAAGAAGGATAACCTTGAGACATTTATAGCTAAATGGATGCACCTTGAAAACATACTCATGAAATAAATCAGACACACATGGAAATACTGCATTGTTTCTCTGCTGTGAGAAAACAAAACTGTAAATAAGGATCAAAATGCATACCTATGTGTATAGTAGCATGATTTATAATAACTAAATCTTGGAAACAGCCCATATGCCCATCAACAGATAAATGGATAAAGAAAATGTGGTATTTATATACAATGGAGTACTACTCTGCCATAAAGATAAACCTGAATCATTTGTAGAAAAATGCATGCACCTTCAGACCATAATTTTAGGTGAAATAAATTGGGTACACAAGTTTAAATATCACATTGTTTCTCTTGTATGAGAAACCCGAAGGCTAACTATGGAGCGTAATGGAGGACAGATATTGGAAAATAGAAAGAACATGTTCAAATGGTAGGGTTATAAGGGGGAGGGAGGAGGCAAGGGAGGGAATAGGGATACAAAAATAAAAGAATGGAAGGAAAACAATAGAAACAAAGTTTTATAAAGGGAGAGGGAGGAACAGTTGAAGGGGAGGGAGGGAAATGGGGAAAAAAAAGAAGATATGTTACATACAGGTACAAATTCTCTGTGATGACTGTGATCAGTATGTATGGCAAATACATACTAATAGAAAGGGGCTGTGGACATAGATCAGTACAAAGGCCCTGGCCCTGAGTTCAATCCTTGCAAGGAGGGAGAAAGAGAGCGACACAGAGAGGGAGGGAGGCTTTAGAATATAGCTCTGAAAGGCTCAAACCTTCAAAATCTGGTCTTTGCCCTTTGATAAAGTTGTGAATTTTTTCCAGCTCTGAAATACAGTTTTGAGATGCAATAACCAAGTACACATAATTTCCATAATTGTACATATGTGTCATGATTTTAATACCTGTTTCATTTTACTTATTTATTTTTTGAGATAGGGTCTTGCTATGTAGTTCAGGCTGTGCTTGAACTATGTAGTTGGCCTCCAGCTCCCAGTCCTCATGCCTCAGCCTCCCAAATGCTAAGTTCATATGTGTACTCCACTGTGCCCAATTACTGAATATTTTTGTTTCTGAGACAGTCTTGCCTTATAGTTCAGGCCAGCCCTGGCCTTGAACTCACTATGTAGCTCAGGCTGGTCTTGAACTTGCAGTGATCCTCCTGCCTCAGCCTCTCGAGTGCTGGTATTACAGGCGTGTGCCACTGCACCCAGCAGAATATTTGTTTTCGATCGATATAGTTATTCATTTTGAAAGCAGACAAAAGAGGCATAAACCAAAACAGCTAGCAGCAAGCAGAAAAAGGTCTGAGGAAGAAAAGTACTTATATGTTAGATTATAGCTCTGGAGACTTTATTCACCCTCAATATATAAGTAGAGGCTTTTCAATCTTTTTGCATTGACATTAAAATAATTTTAGCTAATTATACAGTAAATCTGCAATCATTTCTGTTCCAGTGTTGACTATCCATCATCACAATAGGTTGAGTAAAAAAAACAACCAACCAAACAAACAAAACCAATAGGTTGAGTGCAGTGAACATTTCCTCAAAAAGGTAGCAAAGCAGTGTAGTAATTGATTTGTCACACAGTAGTCCTGGGTATGAGCCTAGCACTGAAATTTACTAGTTATATGACTTCAGGTAAATTAAGTCTGTTCTTTCCTCTGTACAATGGGAATAACAGTATCTACCTCATAACAGTGCTGTAGGGATTAAATAATCCATGTGAAACACTAAGCTTTTTACACAGCACACAACACAGTAAGCAAGTACAATAACGGACTTCTTAAAATGTCCATGTCCTTAATACCCAGGCCCTCTGAGTGTGTGATGTTACAAGGCAAGGGGTCATTAAAGTTGTAGATGGCATTAAATTTACTGATCAGCTGGTCTTAAAATGGGAAGGTTTTCTGGATGAGGCAGTCATCCCAATGTAATCATAAAGGTCACTGTGAGTGAAAGAGGGAGGCAGGAGAATGTCAGAGTAAGAGAGTATAGAAGATACTCGCTGGGCATGGTGACACACACTTGTAAGCCTGGCACTTGAGAGACTGAGGCCAGGAGGATTACCATGAATTCAAGGCCAGCCTGGGGTACATAGTGAGAGTCTGTCTTGGGAAAAACAACAACAACAAGAGATACTATGCTGTTGTCTTTGCAGGTTGGAAGGAGCGGTGAGCCAAGGAATGCAGGCAGCCCCTGGAGTTGGAAAAAGGCAAAAGAGTCTTCTCTGGCACCCCCACAGGGTGTACAGTCTTGCTGATGTGTTGATTTTCACCTGGAAAGACACATTTTGGAACTGTAGAAGGGTAACATAAATTTATGTTGTTTTAAACCACCAAGTTTGTGGTAATTTGGTATAGCAGTAATAGGAAAGTAATATACAACACTGACTCATTAGTATTAATGTGTATCATAATCATTTCCTTTTCAATAAAAAACTATTTTTAAATAGTACGTTAGTCAGAGATAACTTAGTGAAAATTGGTACAATGGTCAGTTGAATCAGTTTGACAAAGTAATGTGAATTGAAAGCTTCTTCTTTTTTGAGATTGGGTCTGGCTATGTTGCCCAGGCTGGCCTTAAACTCTTAGGCTCATGTGATCTTCCCACCTCAGCCTCTCAAGGCGCTGGCACTACAGGCACATGCCACTAAACCTAGCTGAGCTGATTCATTCTATTTTATCTTTAACGATTTACCAAAAAAAACCCCCAAAAAACAAAAACGAGTGTCCAAATATGACTGTCATTATTCTGGTAAATAAAAATAATGATAAAATGAACAATCAATCACATTGTTAAATAATACAACACAAAAGTGCTAGGGAAAAGTATAAAAAATAGCATGTTTTATATTTATATGAAATTCAGTCACTGTATACAGTTTGACAAATAAAAAGAATTTATTAACTGTGTTTCCCACTGGTAATAAAATTTTCACTAAAGAACTGATTTTTAAAAACACAAAAACCATGACTCATGCCAGTTAAACCTGTAAATAGTCAGAACATTAATGGACATATTAAGTATCTGAGATGTTAGAAAAATGTGTTCTTAGTTTAAAATGCTAACTCCGTATTTTAGAGAGTACCCTCACAAAATGGGCACATATCATCCAAAGCAGTTTATTCCTGGAGATGCAGCAAGAAATTTAAAACTTTAATGAAAAATCTTACCAAGTTTTGCCAGGCATAGTGGTGCATGCCTGTAATCGCAGCACTTGTGAGGCTGAGGCAGGAGAATCACTGTGTGTTCGAGGCCAACCTGAACTCCATAGAGATCCTGTCTCCAAAAAAAAAAAAAGTTTCCTTTTCCTTTGTATAGGCTTCTAATGTATATAATGACACTATAAGTCATAATCAAAATTTGGTGTGTATTCTTAAAATTTTTTCTGATGGGGGTTACATGGTAGAAAAAAAATCACTAATGATAAGCACTATGCATTGCCTCTGTCACAACTTGATTTTGCTCTAAAAACTCACACCCATGGAATTAAAACAAAAATTTTCAAAGTACTAGTAAATATAATTTTGCCAACAACCTTTCAAATATGTTAACTGCACATACAAAGTGTGTCAAATATTTCAAAGTAGCATTTAAAGATCAAATCATGAGGTAGAAATATCAAAATATTCAGTGTAAATATAAAGGTTTAGTAAAACCTTAATGTTTAATGTAGATATGTGTGTAGACAAAAGATACTCACCTACAACTCTGCATTCATCCATTTGATTTTTTTTTTCTCAGTTTTTTTCCGATACCAGGAATTAAACTCACAACCTTGCACTTGCCAGGCAGGCGCTGTGCCACTGAGCTAAATCCCCAGCCCCTGCATTCATCCATTTGAAAGACTCATTTCAATGGAAAAAATTAAAAGCCACATTTTTTAGCAGACTTTTCTAATTCTGAAATGACAAACATTTCATCTGTCAAGAAATTTTTGTGAGGGGGAAGTAGTTTTGTTTAATTTTAGATTTTGAAAGTTATTTACTAAATCATGCACTTTATACCAATGAATGTATCTTTACTAGAAAGTGGTGGAAGACACTATAACTATTATTTCTAAAATGTCTAAATGATAATAACATGTAAGTAATACCAGCTACAGAATCTGTGAGCCCAAGGCAAAATAAAAATGAGCCCCTTGTTTGAAACTTTTTTGGTGTTTTAAAATTTATTTTTGAGGCAAGGTCTTACTGTGTAGTTCAGGCTGGACTTGAATTCACTATGTAGCCCAGGCTGGCCTCAAACTCATGACAAATTTCCTGCCTCAGACTCCTGAGTGCTGGGATTACACATGTGTACCACCACACTTGGCTGGAATTTTTCAAGACAGTATCAGAGCACTAAGCCAAGTGCTCTCAATATGGGGAACCCTATATGACTGCACAGTCTCAACACTTCGAAAGCCAGCCCTAAATCTATTTAAACTGCCACTGTGGAACAGCGAGACCTTAGTTATCTTCATATCTTGAGTCTGTAATACTACATTGGCATACAGTAAGATTCAAATGTATATTGAATGAAAAACTGTTATTCTAAATCAGTGACACATGCTTAGCAACTTGTGGTCAGAATAAATCTTAGCCCAATGAAGACAGTCTGCTTATTATAATGCTTTGGTTGTTGAATGGCTCCAAGCTTCAATTTTCCACTACTTGAACAGCGAAGTTAAAAAAAAAAAAATCTGCTTGGTGTTTGTAACTTTGCGCAATAGTTGAGCCAAAAACCTGACCTAAAAAATCTGTAGGGGCTGAGAGTGAGTCACACATTGTGTCTCCCCAGGAAACCAAGGAGTGACACTTCAAAGTGCTGCTTTTCCCCAGACAACATATATTGTATTTGATTTTCCATTATTTCTTATGGAAAAAAATACATTCAGCTCTTGAACTTTTTGGTGTTTGAATGTGAATTTGGAATGAACTGAGTTCAACAACTAAGGTATCACTGTAAACAACAGATTCCTCTAGTACTGAATAATTTCCACATCATATTCTAGCTTCATGGGAGTGTGAGGCCACATATGGTGAGGTTCATTTAACAAATATTTATTGAGCAACTACTCTGTGCCAGGTACTGTATCAGGCACTGGGAATACAAGAATAAATAAGACAGTCCCTGCCCTCAAGGAGCTTACAGTCTAGCATAAGAACTTATAGCACCTTAGAATCTACTGAGAAAACTTTCTGGGTATCTAGCATATTATCTAGAATACTCCAAGTTTCCTGAAAATAAGAGTCTAAAACTTACCAGAAAGCACTGTTTAGAAATGAAGGATGCAGTGAAATTTAAGAGAAAATTCAAATATTCACTCTTCATTGTAGAAACCGTGAAATCTAAATGAGGAAGAAACTTAGGAAAGCTGAAAAACTGAACCTATTTTAAAGACTGTGGACCAGATTTAAATTTTTAAAATTATTTTATTATCTCTGGGTAACATTTTCATTTATAGTGACATTTACATACACATACATATAGGAGGTGTGTGTATGTGCAATGTGCTCCTTGGGCTTCTGATAAAACCCATATATCTCTATTATTAATTCATGTTCAACTAAAGAGAGCAGCATAAAGGTAAATCAGACACTTTTCTTTCAATAATAATTTCCATTATCACTTGAAATGGGAAAAACTCTTAGAAAAACTCACTGAGAATCATCTCTAGGATATAAATTTTAGTATAATTTTATTAGAACAATGAGACTAATCTGTGTCTTTGAAACATGTGATAATTTAAGCATGTATTTTAATGGTTATTGACAAAGTTTATGGCATCTAAAATAGTCTTAAATCTATCTGAATTTTTCTTTTTTTCCTGTACTCTTCCTCTTTTTTTTTCTTAAAAGCATAAAAGACCCCTGTGCAAATAAAGAACTTTTGTTGTTGCTTTGGTGTACTTTGGTACATTGCTATTTATTTCTTATTCTAGCAGCATCCTTCCTTACTTTGTAGTATCTTACTTAAGTAGCAACTGAAAAATCACTAGCCTAGGCTTTAACTGGGATCTTTTACTACCCAGAAGGTAAGTGGGAAATAACCACGGATGCTGTCTCACAGATTGTGCACCCAGTTTGTCTAGCTCTTACTGCAGATGCCGAACAGTTTTTTTTGTTTTTTTTTTAATCTTATGTCCCAGCTCATAAAAGATAAACACAGCACATCAGAAGAAAAGTGTTAGAGGCAGGCATGTTGACAGAACACACTATTTAGCAGATATTAAAACATGAAAAAATTAGTCATTGGAGGCAAATGATTATATATACCTCAAAGTTGAGGGAATCACTTAATAAGATATTAACTCATATTCGTTATAGCCCTTTGTATTTTATGAACTGTTGATAGAGATCAGAGCTCACTGGGTATTTGTAATAACACATTATGTATAGGACTTGTAAATTATACTGAGCATGCTAAGAAGGCAGGGAGGTATATTAACATACCTGAAAGATTTGCATCAAAAATAATTACAAGTTTTCAATTTTGGCACTTAAGAGATATGCATCAGCTTTCCAAAATTCATATATATGGTATCTTTCATGACCAACACAGGGTGTTATTGAATGGATCTTCATAGCACTCAGTGATTGCTGGTAATTAAATACAGATGATTGTCATCAGTAAGTTACTAGACTATTTCTGCTAAATGCAAGTTGAACAGATACCTATAGATGCCAGTACCTTATCTTCTGAATAATATGGGAAACACTATACTTCTAAAAGACTCAGTGTTTTCCCCATATTGCACTTTCTAGAGAATATAACCTTGAAAAATTATACAATGTGATCTTGGTTCTAAATAGGAACAGGGAACATGTTTTACCTTTTCCTTGTTTGTTTTCCTGAAATTTTTGGTATGGCCTCTTCTCCCTGATGTAACAAAGAAAAATAACGAAATATACATATCCTCTGGGCTGCTGAGCAAAAAGACCACACATATTTTTTAAAAACTACAACAGAATTGTCTTTTGCTTTAGCCACTTCTTTTCACAACTGAAAATAAGGTACTACTGTATATTTGATGTACCCAACTCAACACAGCGTTCTCATAAATATACTGTTCTGGAAAAGGCTTTTTAAATCATGAAACAACTTACTCTACACTTACCAGTAATTATACTACTTACCCATTAGATTTACCAATTATCATGAATAAAAATGACAATAAAATTTAGAGTAAAAAATCTACCCTAAGTGATGTTGGAATGTGTAATTTCTTCCAATAGTACACTATTCCTATTGCCCTTTAATTCCTTAACTAATATTCCCTAATGACTTTTTTTGGTCGTGACCTTAACTCAAGGAGGGCAACAGTTTTTTTGGGTTGAATATGCTGGTTGTTAATTTTTAATTCTCATCTGTGTGGTTGTATTTTTATGCTACTTCTCCATTTTCTTTTTTATTTCATAGGTTGTTAGAATGCTTGAGGCTTTTTTAAAGTTAGGAATGGACTGTTTGCCCTGAGTTTATGGTAATCATTCTCATGGAAACTATCGGCCTTGTAAGTGTTCTTTCACATGGTACAGAAAGTAATTAAGGCCAGTGTTGTAAAACAAAAAACAAACAAAACCTTCCAGAAGATACTAATGCAAGGAATCGAACCCAGGGCCTCGCACTGGCCAGGCAGGTGCTGTGCCACTGAGCTACATCCCTAGCATCCAGAAGATACTCAACAAGGAATTAACAGGTCAGTTTATCATCCTTTACAAACTAAAATCAGAAACAGTATAGTAACACGGTCTTTAGACTAAAACAAACAGGCGAACCAGGTTTTGGATCCCAGTGTGGCCATCCACAGCCAATTCTAATTTCAGGCCAGTCATATAATCTTCCAAACCCATCATTACCCCCAAAGTAATTTGGAGTACATTTTGCCTACATTGCAAGGTTTTCGTGAGGGTTCGTAGTAAAGAAGGTGCACTAACATACTATAGCTGTTCTATAGTGGTTTAAGAATCACAGGCTGAATTTAGAGTCGGGACCCATGTGAGTCCAGCATCTGACACGGAACACTTTCCAAAGCTGATACAACTTATGGAATCTTTTTTTTTTGCATGTCAATTTGATCATTGTACTTTTTGTTGTTGTTGTTTTTGTTTTTTTTCCAGTACCGGGAATTGAACTCACAACCTTGCTAGCCAGGCAGGTGCTGTGTCGCTGAGCTAAATCCCCAGCCCCTGTTCATTGTACTTCATAGCTTACTTTTAATGGTAACATTTTGGGATGCTCTTTATTTTAACCTTTAAAACTAACATTTTAAAAAAGTTTCTTTCTTTTTTTTTTTTTTTAAGAAACAAAGTCTTTTGGCAAGCTTATGTGTTCCCTGGGCTTTGTGGTAATTTTTTTAATCACCACAAAATTTCCAATTTTTAGGTAAGATGATGTGCATTTAAAAATTTGTCCTATCGCCAATATTGTTCCATGTGAGATCTACCTCTATGTATGTGTGTGAATGGCTGTTCAGAAGGCCCTATAAAGAAGAATCATTTTAATTCATGTATTTGGGTTGTTTAAACACTTCTATTAAATATAAAACACTTTCCTTCTTAAGACTGGAAAATTTAGCATCTACTCTCATGCGTTCCTTTTTTAATCTGTTGGCTAATTTAAGAATACTCACAATAATACAACTTAAAAGACAAAGTGTTCACAAGTCATTGATTTTAACAGCTGGCATAATATAGTAGAATTACCCTGAGCACAGAATTAGGAGACCTGAATTCATGTCCTGGCTCTGCCACTAACTTTGCAGGCTGACCTTAGGCAAATCATTTCTCTATTTTGTCAGATAACGCAAAGGGTACCATTCCAAGTTATTTTCTACCTCTAAAATTGCCTTCATTTATTTATTATTATTTAGCTAATCAAAACACCTATGGGGATTGTATTAAGCACCAGATGGATATAGATGTATTTACTGAAGTTTAAGGTTTTGTTTTTCAAACTGTGATCCAGAGACCACTTGAATAAAGATTATGTGGGACTCCTGCTAAAAATAGATTCTTATCCTCTCCTAGCCTGAATCAGAATCTCCTAAGGCAAGGCTCAGGGTTTCTACATTTTTCACAAGTTCTTCACAGATTATAATGTACCCTAAAGTTTCAGAATTATTGGCCTAATGAGTATGCGACCTAAAAGGGCAAGGTTAGCACATGGCTTCAATTATTCCAGCCTCCAGCAAATCCCTTCTAAACACAATGTCCTTCAGTGTAGTGAGGACTGGAAGACAGCTGCCTATTCATAGCAGCAGCCTTGTACTTGTCTTTACCTGATGTTTTTACTTGCTATGTTCTGTAACAAAACACAAAAAATGTATTCATATCAGCATTTAGCCTTGACATGGAAGTCACTGACCACCAGGGTTATGATAACTGTTTGAAGACAACTGCAGCTTTCCAGTCACTAATGGTAAGAGAACTGAGCTTGTGGCCCCTGGCTCAAGGAAGAAAGATTGAGCAAGATGCTATATCTTTACTCTTGATTTTCCTTCTATCCAATATTGATAACATACCATCCTGTGTGATTCAAAGAATCTGGCAGAGAAAACACAGAAAATATAAGTTACAGTGTTCTCACCATTTTTGGCCAGATATTGTACTAATCTAATAAAAAAATTCTCTTCTGTATATCAGAAATGACCAAAGTCCATCCCTTCTCCTTTCCTTTCTAGTGCTGTTGATGGGAATAAAATACCAAGTAAGAACACATTAGACATTTTAGCTTCATACAAGTAAATTATAAGAAGTTGTAATATTTTTTCTAGATTTTCACAAAATCTCTGCCACATGAAAAAAATTATGTGACTTTACCAGGAAACAGGAAGCTACTAAGTTGTAAGACTGTCTAACAGTTGTAAGAATAATGCAATTATCTGTGCTCCATATAGTAACTTTAAAAGGCCAAACATACTGATAAATGAAGATGAAATTTCTTTTTCAGCAACTTGTATGCCCACACCCAACTTCTGGATTTTATTCAATGCTAGTGTCAAGGGTTTCTTTTATCCAAATCCAACCTCCTGCCAAATGTCTACAAACTCATACTAAAATCAAAAAAAAGAGAAAGGAGAAGGAACGGAGGGAGCAAGGAGGGAAAAAAGGAGAGAACAAGGGAACTTAAGAGCTACCATGCAAAGTAACTGGAGTTCAGTGGCACAGAGCAGCAGGGGCAGAGGAATGCTGAAAAAGACGGTGCTGCGTGGAGTCTAGCTTCGAGACGCCTGTATGACACTGGTGATCAAGTCCTCAGGTCACAGGGATGTTTACGGACCCATACAAACCAGGACCTTGACTCAATCTTATCAGATCCTCTAAGAAAATACTTCACCTAAATTGAAGTAATTTATCAAGTCCAATGCCACAAGAGTTCCTTATTTGATGTAAATTGTGTCTAAAACTTTGGCTGATACAAAGAGACTCTTCCGCTAAGGCACCCTGAGGCAATCTGACAATGTGTTGGAGAGAATTTTGTCGTCAATACCACATCATTATGAGAATACAGAGAACGGATCACCCGCAGGGGACTGGCTTCTTTGGGTAAACAGTCAACAAGTTCACTGCACTGTTTGTCAAATCCCAACAAGCGAATTCCATAGCCATGTGGGGAAGAAATCATTCTCCCATCAGGACTGAAGCAAAGTTCTTTGATGTAACCCCTGCCTACATTGGCTTCTTCAATGTAATGAGTCAGTCGTAGGGAACAGCGAGGTGAGACAAGTCGCATGGGAGCTCCTTCTTGAAATTCATAGACACAAGTCCACTAGGGGGAGAGAAAGGAGACAAATTAAGGTTAGAGAGTCCCAAATAGTGCTACAGGTATCTCTTGTTTTTGAAAGGCTCACCAGATTGCCAATGCCATGTAATCGTTGCAAGAAATCAGTCAAATGAATACTATCCCCATTCTGACTAACAAAATTTGTAAACAGTGCTGGGCATGGTGGTGCATGCCTGTTATTCCAGCACTTAAGATACTGAGGCAGGAGGATCGCCATGAGTTTAAAGCCAGCCTAGGCTGCATAGTGAGTTCAAGGACAGTCTGGACATAGTAAGCCCCTATCTCAACAAACCCATAAAAAAGAAAGGATCCCTGAGGCTGCCTGTGACTTCTGTGGTAATACATTTTCTTTTTCGATGGCAATTACAATCTTGGTATTTTAAAAATTCCTAGGTAGACTCAAGCTCTAAAGTACCTCTTCCCATAGACATTTCAAAGGCTGCTTTTCACTTCCTTCAGTTGTGGTCTCCAGAGCCAGAAAGACCCTTGGAAAATTCTTCTTTTCCAGAGTGATGACAATTTTAAGGTTATTTAACCTTTATCCCTGTCATCTGTTTTATCTCTTCATTTCCTAGTTTCCTTTGGTTTGTTTTTGGTCTTTTTGAGACGTCTCACTGTGTAATTCAGGCTGGCCTTAAGCTCACTTTGTAGGCCAGGCTGGCCTCAAACTTGCAATGATCCTCCTGCCTCAGTCTCCCAAGCGCTGGGCTTACAGGTGTATGCCACCATGCCCGGTTTTGATTTTTAAAAGGAGAAAATTATGGTAATTGACTTACAAAACCTCTCATTTAGCCAGCTTGGCTGAAATAGCTCAGCACTATGCTTCCTATAAAAGTTTTGTTTTATTTATTCTTTTTTTTTTTTAAGAATGAGACAAAGAAAGAACCAAGAGGCAAGTCACAATCTGAGCTGATGATGGCTCTGATTATAGCCAGTTCACTATATCCAGGCAGGAGAAGAAAAAGACAACTTTGCAAGGGATTACATACCCTAAAATAACAGAACAGAAATAGCAAGAGTTAAGAAGCAGGTCTGTGACAAGGTGCCCTTGAGGGTAGGGACTGTATGGAGTGATCAGCCTAAAGTCTGCATACATGGCAATGGCAATTTGTCAAACAAACCCTGTTGAAGATGGAGCACTGCTGCCTGTACCTCCTGATCATCAGTGTTGCTTGAGCACCGAAGAAGCGTAGCCCAGCCTTTGGGGTGCAGTTGTAAGGATGTAATGCAATTTCCACGATCTCGCTCACCAGGAACTTCAGGGGTTAAGACTTCAAGACTATTTCGTGGTGAAACTCCTGAAATACAAGAAAATGAAGATTTGAACAATAAATCCCATGCCTGGAGGAAAGTTCTTTATTTATTTAGATGTGGTGGCATAAGCCTGTAATCCCAGCACTGAGGATGCTGAGGTATGAGGATGCCACAAGTTTAAGGTCAGCCCAGGCTACATAGTGAGTTCAAGGCCAGCCTGAATTACAGAGCAAGACCCTGTCTCAAAAAACCAAAGCCAAGCAAACAAACCTCTGCCCCCCAAAACCTCCCAAACCGTAATTATGTGATATAGGAGTCTAAAAACAGTAACAATTCTTGTTTTTCTTGGTACCAGAAATCAAACTGAGGACCTTGCACTTGCCAGGTAGGTGCTTGTGCCGCTGAGCTATATCCCCGGCCCTAAAACAGTAACAGTTCTCATCTCAGAGGACTTATTGCTTGTAGGCCAGAGAAAGAGACACAAGAAGCCAGGGGAATTGCCTTTAGTAAATAAAAGAATCTGATTTATAATCCCAAAGGACAATAAAGATGCTCCTCTACTTTCAGTGGGGTTAAAAAACCATCATATATTGAAAATGCATTTAATACATCTAACCTATCAAATATCACAGCATAGTCACACAGTATACCATAGGACATTTGTTGTTTATTCTCATGATTGCATGGCTCAGCATCATGACATAGTATCATCCTGCATATTGGTAGCTTAGGAAAAGATCAAAATTCAAAGCACAGTTTTTACTCAGTGCATATCATTTTTGTATCACCATAAAATTGAAAAATCCAAAATTGAACCACTATAAGTTGGGGATTATCTGTACTATAAATAACAAATAGAGCTATAATTCTGGAGGTGAGAGAGGACACTGCACATAAAGTCAGATCAAAATAAAGGATGGGAGACATGTCAGTCATCTACCCTCCTGGTGACTACAGTGTCCTAGCATTTCCTTCTACCTGGCCCCCCCAATGAAAATGTCATTAGCAGTAAGTCACTGTTACTTAGAGGAGTGACATATTCCTTAGGTATGCAGACATTTCCACAGATATTGTAAGGAAGCAGCTTAGGAATTTAATATTTTCAAGCAGATGCATCATCTTATTTTAAAGATCCTCGTTACATTACATCATTAACAGAAACCCATGAAGCTCTAAATGACATTGCTACAACTATACTATAGGTAAATAATGTTTACACGTGATTGAATTTTTAAAATTTTAAAGTTAAAACAAACTCCTATTTTAAGAGTTAATTTTGAGAACTTCTAACAAAAGCAGAAAAGAAACATTCTAAATGGGTAAGCAGCTGTTTGCTATTTGTACTCTTTGGAGGTTCTGTGGGAGCTGACAAAAGGAAGAACCATGCAGGAGACAAGGTTGAAAAGGGATAGGGATGACTGGAGGATCAATTTCACTTGAACCAGAGCTACTTTGATTTTATTTGTGCTACATCACTGAGAATCCAGAGCAGATTTCATACCCAAAATAAGAGTTCTAATGCCGCTCTAAATATTGAAGTAGAGATGTCCCTATTTCTAAAAGGTGGTTCAAAGTAAAACAAAAAAAGATACTTGGCCAAAACTAATCAATCCAAAAAGAGAAATGTCATAAATGCAGTAAGAGCTTAGATTTGGGTTAATATGGAGAGACAGTGGTGGATTTGTATAGGTAGAAAATATTTTAATTAAGAGGCAGAAGGGATAGCAGAGCACTCAGTTCTGCCAGAATGACTGGGAGAAACTGGCAGATTCCAGGAGGGTCAAATTAGAGCTCACCTTATCTCACAGCTCCTTTGAGACTGTCAGGGAGTACACAGAACAGAAAATGGCAGAACAAAAGGTCTCCAGAGCAAAATATGAGGTGACTTTCAGAATCACCTGATAAATTAATTCCTTGTGTTTATATAGTACTTTCACATCCATTCTCAATTAATTTTCACAATAATCTTGATTAGAATCTACATTTCCTTACTTGAACAACATGTAGTATAAGAACCATTGTTGAACTCCTACCATCTTGTATGGTGAAACTCTGCATCGTTTCCAATGTCTTTTTTTTATTGTTACGGTCTTTGATTGATCAATCTTACATTCTTATGTCTGGTGTACGGAGCAACTTTGTTGAAGATAACAGTATGTAATGTAGCAACCATTGTTAATTCCTATCATTTTGTTTGAGGTCATGTATTGTTTTTGTTGTTTTTGTGTCGTTTTATGTTGTTTGTGTTTGATTTGATTTGTGTTGTTTGTTGTTTTGAGGTCATGTATCATTTTTGTTGTTTTTGTGTTGTTTTCTTTTTGTATTTTTTTTTAAATTTAAATAAAAAAAAAGAATCTACATTTTCTGTTTCCCCTCCAAACCAGACCAAACTAAGTTTGGCCCAGGTAAAAAAACCAAGGCTCAAATTCCATCAAAGATTTAAACACAAGTTGGAGAGCTTTTTGAAAATGATGACTGAGGGATAAGAAATAGCCTCATCTCTATTGGAGTTTATTTTTATGGATTAAAACCAAATTAAAAGAAAGCTATTTGATAGAATCTGTTATTGCAAGATTATAAAATCCAACTTTTCACCTACCTTCTCTTTGAGAGGCTCGTGACACATGTTTCTCTGAAGATGAATTAGAATCACTATGATGACAAGGTGAACCAGAAACTCTAGGACTTGATGAACTTGCTGAACTGGTCAAATCTTGAAGATACAGAATTGATAATAAATGTAAAATAACTCTGGTAATGTTTCCCAAATTTTTAATTATCTACTTGAACTATATTTTGAAAATTCACCCCAAGTATGGCCACAAAGAGCTCACATAAAACTAGGCTGTAACTCCAATGAAGGAGTCAGGATAGTTCTCTGAAATGTACTGTAGAAGCTATATGCCATTTCTAAATCCTTTATACCAAACACTTTTCTATGTGAAATACAAATAAGAAACCAAATAAGCATAGGAACGTCTTTAGTTTTCTATAATTTTGTACTAAAGCAGAGTAATAAAATGATAATGAAAGCTGAGCTGTTTATCTTGCTTAATGTAGAATAACAGTCCATCTGACTGAGAACATGAACAAATTCTTTAAAGCACAACAAAACTTCTACTGTAGTTCCTGAAATTATGTGATTACTATCTTTGAAATGTAATACAAAGCTTCACATTAAAATTTGTGGAAAAATCTGATTAATACTAGAGAGTCAAGTTTGGTGTATTACTTCAAACACAATCTCAGTTTTCATTATACATTTCCAGTAGCCCCATCCTTCTGTAGGGAATTCTTTTGTATTTTTTGTAGTACTGGGGATTAAACCTGGGGCCTTCATACTGAGTATCACCATGACTGGCTGGGAATTCTTATTAATCTAAATTCCTGTGAAATTATTTAGTATCCAATTATGCTGAGACGACTGAAAAGCTTCTTGGTTTCAAGGTCAACTGCACCTTCTAAATCACTATTTTTCACTAAGCTGAAGTTGGTTATCAATATTTAACTTAAAAAGGCAAATCTGTACCTAAAATGATTATGTTTGCAGATTTATAAAACCTTTTCCTTATAAGTAAGTTGGTAAAACTTGACTATCTCTTTTTAAAGTTTCATTAGGCAACTGCAGTACTTATATTTGCACTTTCTCAAAAAGATCTTCAGGAGCGGTCCTGTGCACGATGGAGAAACACTCCAATCATCTGAAGCTGCCTTTCAATAGCACTTCATGAACAGTCTGTATTCTTGCTAATAAAAGCAACATTATAATAACAGATATATATGTAGAACAACCATATCTTTCCCAAAGGTAGATGAAATATAATCATTTAAATCACATAATGTTTATAAACTACAGTACTTGAATTTTTCTGAGCCCCAGCTTCACTTAAGTCTAACGCAGTCAGCAATGGGAGAAGGGACAGGGATTTGGCAAGAGGGTGTTATAAGGTAAGGTGGCATCAGCTACCTGTATTTGGTCAGCTGGAAGTCTAGGTACATAGTACACAGTTATCACTAAAACTCCATAATTACCACAATTTTAAAGTTCTGCTGGGTTCCAGCAGGACTTTAGAAAACTGATACTATCTTGAACTATCACTAATTTCTGAGATGGCAATGATTCAGAAGCACTGATGAAAGATTCTCTGGCTAGCACAAAACTAAAAGAAAGAATTTTAAGAGCAGTTATTCTTCCTAGGCCATTTGTGATACAGAGGCACAAATACATGCCATGCCACAGATACGCATGGATCATTGGAAAAAAGCTTTTAGTGAGTTTTCTAATGAATGCCTTTTAGTCACGCACAGTGTGCACACCTGCAATCCCAGCTACTCAGGAAGCTGAGGCAGGGGACTCACAAATTCAAGGCCAGGCTGGGAAACTTAGTAAGGCCCTGTCTCAAAAAAAGGGCTGGGGATGTACAGTGGCCCTGGGTTTGGTCCTCAGTACTGCAAAAAGAAAAGAAAAAAAAGGAATGCCTTTTAATTCTCAATCCTTTTTACTGCTACCATTTTTGAAACAGCAACACATACTATCCCCAATGTCTCAGATTGTTTAGAAAACTCATTTTCTAATCAAAAAAAAAAAGCTTACCTGAACTTGATGTAGTTCTTCTTGCTCTCAAAATGGGATAGCTGCCTACTTCTAAAGATTTGGTTAAATCAAGATCATGCAAAATCAAGAGATATCCAGAGGACGTTGAGATCAACATTTTGGAACAATCTGGTGTTAATCTCATTCTCATGAGAAAACGTGTGTGAAAGAATTTCTTATGGGGACAACCATCTTCCGTACACCTACAGAAGAAATCAAATTAACAGAACCTAGTAATCAAAATATAGTCATTCAGTGACAGTTGAAATTATTTTTCCTTTCACAGCAGAATTTACAGCAATGTTTGTCTGTCTGATTATTTATTTTTGAGACAGGGAACTTCAAACTATTTTGTAGGGCAGGCTAGCCTTGAACTTGCGGTGATCCTCCTGCCTCAGTCTCCTGAGTGCTGGGATTAGCAATGTATATTTAGATTTATACACATACTTCACATTTTTTTTGCTTACTAGTTCTTCTTTCATCTTTGACTTTTCTTTTTAGACAAGCCTTTTTCTCCTGAAGTATACCTCAGAATTCTTTAAAGTAAAGCTGTGTTGAGATAAACTTTATCGCCTTTTATTTTTCTGAAATTTTATATTTCATTCCTTTTTAATAGAGGTTTAACTGAGCATACAACTTAGGGTTGATCATTTCTTTCTGAATATTGATAATATTTTACTGAGCTTTGGCTTCCATTATTAATAATTGTAAATCTGTATTAGTCTATCTGTTACTTTGGAGAATTTGTCTTTACTACCTCTTTTGACTGATATTCTGTCTTTAGAGTTTTGCAGTTTTGATATCTGTAAATTTGGATTTCTTTTTATCTTTTTTTTTTTTTTTTTTTTGCCTTTTTTGAGACAAGGTCTCCCGCTATGTAGTTCAGGATGACCCTGAGCTCACTTGTAGCCCAGGCTGGTCTTGAACTCAAGACCTGCTGCTCCTGCCTCAGCCTTCTGAGTGCTGGGATTACAGGCGTGCGCCACCATGCCCAGCTCCTTTTTTTTTGTAGCCCAGGCTGGTCTCGAACTCACAACAGTCCTCCTGCCTCAGCCTCCCGAGTGCTGGGATTATAGGCGCGTGCCACCATGCCCGGCCCACCTCCTTTTTGATATTCATTTGACTTTCTAAACCTTTTCTTTTTGGTACCAAGAGTCAAACTCAGGGACTCATGCTTGCCAGACAGGTGCTGCCCTACTGAGCTACATCCCTGGCCCATGACTTTCTAACTTTTAAGATTCATGGTATTTACGTATTCTGGAAAATTCTGTAATTATTTCTGTATTGCCTTTCACCCATTTTCTTTATTCTTTAGAATTCTAAATAGATATTTGATCATTCAAATTTGACTCTCCTTATCTCAAAATTGCTCTTTCATGTATTCTATCTCCTTATTTCTGTATGCTGTTACAGAAATGACTTTATTCTGAACTAATTTTATTTTCTTGCTACAGGAATTCTCTTTAAATGAAGGATTATTTAGTAAATTATAAGGCAATAAAATGCACTAATTTTAAATGTGTTCTACAATATCTGTATCTGTACCAGTTGACAACAGTAAAACTACCACCTACATCAAGATACTGAACAAAAATGTTACATATGAATACAACACAGTCTTTTAAAAAGTGAAATGCCTGTAATATCTTTATTTTTCCCTAATAAAAATGTTGCTCTCCATTTCTATGGCCTAAAGAGTTTCTATTATCTTTAATCTTTGTTTTATGTATATGAATGTTTTGGATTAGAGATTGATTTTTTTATTCAACTTGGATCTCTTGGATTAATTGGAAATGTAACTAGTTTGAGTAGTGTTCACCTGTGTCTCTGTCAATCTTTTATGCAAATTTTAACACTTCCTTGGTGTTTTTATTTTGTTAATTTTTTGTTTTTCACTTCTTTTCATTCCAGAAACTTGGAAAGTATATATTCTATTTTTGTTCACAATTCAATGACAAATTGACTTATGTGGACTGCTTTTTGGCACAGTAATTACTGGTTTTCCCAATTTGATATTTCAAATACATCCACCACTCCCTAACCAGTGCTTTGGAAATTTTCTCCTTGCTTTATCAGTATTAACTTTTTTTTGGAGACAGGGTCTCACTTTGTAGTTCAGGCTGGACCAGACTCACTATATAGCCTAGGCTGCGTCAAACTCGTGATGATCCTCCTGCCTCAGCCTCCTGAGTGCTGGAATTATACACATGTGCCACCATTCTTGGCTAGTATTAACATTATAAACTTGCTAGTTTTTTTTAAGGGAAATAATACTGTAACATTTTCCAATTTAGTCAAATTAACATTTAGAATGTATTTTACTGTACTTGTCCCGCCCAGTGACAAAGGACTTTTATCTAACATACATCTTTATCTATAATATTACACAGCAAAAATAAAATAGTATTTGCCCAATACATTGAATATTGGGCATGTACTTTGACAGTTTAAAACTACATAAACTGAAAATTTCAGAACTAGTTTACATTTTACATTTAGGTTTATTACCCTATGTGCAACAATTTTAGACTTCACACTTAACTAGTTTTAATAATTATTATCAAATCTTTCATACAATTGTGTCCCTACTCTTAAATTTTTTTATTGGCTACAATAAATCATCCAGCAAATTTTTCAGAGAAGGTTCTTTGTCGATATACTTTCTTAACTCTTTGGTATCTGAGAATGTCTTCTAGTTGCCTTCATACAGAAATATTTACTTGTATATGATTCTTGGTTCATGGTTATTTTCCTTTAAAACTCAGTATTTACTGTCTTCTGGCATTTAGAAATACAAGAGAAAAATCTGAGGTTGGCCTGAGTTTTGCCCTTTTGTAGATAACATGCTTTCTCTGCCTAGATACTTGCAAATTTTTTTCTTTATCCTTGAAATTTAAGTCTCTAGGATATACCTAGGTGTTGCATTCTTTTCATTAAATTTTTAAGGTTCCCTGCAAGGTTCTTCATTTGCAGGCCAACTCTGTTCAACTCTGTAAAGTTTTCTTTAATTAGTTCCTTAATTATTATTTCAATTTTACTTGCTTTGCTGTGTTTGAGGTATTCATACTATGCATACATTGTGTCTCCTGGACAGGTCCTCTACATCTCTATTTTTCTTCTTTTGTTCAATTTCTTTGGCCTCTTCCACTGCATTCTGTGAGAATTTCTTGCTTTGCATTTAATTCAGCTGTTTTATTTTTGATCAACTCCACTTACATGTTTCCTTTAACTCTGTGTGCTCAAACAGCATTTGCTTTGTAATTGAGCCCACACAGTTAATAACTCTTCTAAGATGTTTGACACTTTCTAGATCGTCTCTGGAGACTAGTACATCCATTTCAAGAGAGGCATTTTCTTGATTACTTAACTCTGTTTCTTTCTTCTGAACTTCGGAATTATGACTCTTTCAATGGGGTCCAAAAGTGGTTTTCTCAAGCATAAAGTGGGAGAACATCCTGGATATATTAGGGTGTTTTTCAAAATGTGCCTGTCTGGTCTCTCTTCCTCTCCCCCTCTCTCAGATTGGACCCAGGAGAAGGTGCTAAGCTACATCCCCAGCTCTTTATTTTTTGATTTTGACATCAGGTCTTGCTACATTATCCAAGTAGGCCTCAAACTTGCAGTTCCCCTGCCTCAGCCTGCTGAATTACAGGTCAGCACCTTCACTCCTGTAATTACAGGATTACAGGTCAGCACCTTCACTCCTGGCACCTTGTCTATGTTTGTTTCCTTTTTAAAAATCACGAACCATATCATATATACAGAAAACAAAATGCATGATTATTTATTTATTTATTTTGTCTTCTTTTGGTTTTGAAACAGTTGGCTTGAACTCATTTTGTAGCCCAGGCTGGCCTTGAACTCACAGCAATCCTTCTGTCTCAGCCTTCAAAAAAAATGTGTAGAGTTTAAAAAAAAGTGAACACTTGTGACTCATCACCCATGTTTAGAAGTAGAACAATATTAATACTTCAGATGCTTCCTTTCTTTCTCTCCTCTGTTGCATTCCAAGTTTGCTTCAAGCATTAAGGGTCTTTTTTTTTTGGTGGTGGTGGCAGTGGTAGTGGAGAGCGAATCCCAGGCCTTCCCACTGAGTTACATCCCCAGCTCTTTAGAGACAAGGTCCACTAAATTGCCAAGCTGCCTGGGTTGGGATGGAACTTGTGTGATCCTCCTGCTTCAGCCTCTCAGAGTGCTGGGATCACAGGTACATGCTTCCAGCATGGATAGCTTTTTAAAAAGTTTTCTTCTGCTTATGTTGTCTCTGTTTATTCCAAAAATCTTTCCACTGTGTCTCTGTATTAACAGTTTTTCTCAAATGTCTGTCTTTGGCTGCCTATTCATTTAAGTGTTCATTTAAGACTGGGAAACTAAAGCTGACTGGAAACTCTAAGGGCAAAGTAGGGTAAATCTTTTTTTTTTTTTTTTTTTTTTCTTGAGATAGGGTCATACTGTGTAGTCCAGGTTGGCCTTGAATTTACTATGTAGCCCAGGCTTGTCTTGAACTCCTGGTGATTCTCCTCCCTCAGCCTCCTCAGTGGTGAGATTACAGGCATGTACCACCATTTTTAGTGGAATTCCAGTTTATGCCTGTTCCTTTAAAATCTGCTTATTATAGTTTTGGGGTTTTTTTTTTTGGTACCGGGAATCGAACTCAGGGCCTCGCGCTTGCTGCGCAGGTGCTGCACCGCTAAGCTATATCCCCAGCCCCGCTTATTATCATTTTTGAGTCTTCTCATAGATAAACTTTATTTAGGTCTTCAGTGATATAAATGAAATTTTACAAATTTTCTTCTTAAAGGTTACACATCTTCTATTGTAATTTATTTCTATGTACTAGATTTTGATTATGAAAAATTATATACTATAAAACATTTAAATTGTGATCTAATCACAATAAGAGGAACACATTTTTGTCTTATCTAATTTCTAACAATCTTTCTTTAATTTTTAACAAGGAATTGTATGTATTTATGGGACATAAAATGATTTTTTTTGTGTGGTCCTAGGATGAACCTGAAACCTTGCATAGGTTAAACATGTGATCTGCCACTGGGCTACAACCCCAGCCCACATGTTATATACATATACATTGTTGTGCTAATTAACATATGCATCACCATATTTGTGATAAAACACTTAAAATCTACTCTTAGAAATTTTCAAGTATACAATGCATTGTTATTAACTGTGGTCACCATGT